TTCTGTGACCAAAATTAAGATCAAAGCAACTTAAGGGAGGACAAGATTCATTGCCCTTGTAGGCCACAGTTCCTCACTGAGGGAAATCAGGGTGGAACTTAAGTGGGCTTGAAGCAGAACCCATGGAGGAACACTGCTTGTTGGCTCTCTCACAGACCCATTTTTTGCTAGTTTTCTGTATAGCCCAGGACCACTAGCATGGGGGAATGGAGGCAAACACAATGAGCTAGGCCTGCTACATCAGTTAACATTCAAGACAGTCCCCCTACATCAGTTAACATTCAAGACAGTCCCCCTACATCAGTTAACATTCAAGACAGTCCCCCACAGACTTGCCCACAGGCCAATCTGATGTGGACATTCCCTCAGTTGAAGCTCCACTATGCAACCTTCCTAATGCTGAGACCCTTTAATACAGTTCCTCATGCTATGATGACCCCCCAGCCATAAAGTTATTTTCACAGATAGTTCATCACTGCAATTTTGCTGTTATGAATCATAATGTAAATATCTGATATGCAACTCTCATGGAAGGAACACCAGAACACAGGATATCTGATTGAGTAGCAGCTTGCATTGTGATGTAGTACTTTCACGGCTCTTCATCCCCCAGAGGCTCTTACAGACTCTCAGGGGATGCCTGGAAAGTGAATAAGGAACGTCTTTGGAAATCAAGAAACAGATTGCATTGGACGCCAAACCCACCAACAGCTCATCAGAATGGCTGCCCATTTACTGCCCTCTCTCCAGAATCACAAATAGGAACCATTTGTTGAAAGAACATGGTGCTTGCAGAATTTTCAAGCTTAATTTGCACTGGAATCACAAGATCATTTGTTTTCCCCCAGATCCCAGCACAGGGTCTCATACACAGAGGTGCTTAGTAAAAGATGCTGAAATAGTTTAAGGTGTAAACAAAAGGGTGAGGGAGGTTGGCCTATGCAAATTCTTCCTCAGGACAGCTTCCTTAGAGAACCATTACTGTTACCTTTTTATTAGCCTCAGCAGTGTTCTCAGAGCTTCCAGTAACTGGTTACGATTGAGATATAAATCCAGATCATTCTACTCCAATCAAACCTACAGCCTTTTGCTTTGCAACCCTCTACAGAGACTGGTTTTGTGGGGCATTCAAGATCTCCCTGCTAGTAAGTAACAAAAGTTTTATATAAAACTCAGCAGAAAACAAAACTCTTGAGTGCTCTATAAATGTATTATTAGTTTAGTGTTGTTCATAATACTAAAGTATATATTTTCCTTATTAAGAAAAAGGTTATAAATTAGCATGTATTATAAATTTCCCACACGACCAGGATCTGGGATGTTATTATTAACTGATCAATGTGGCACATTCTGTGCATTATGGAACATTTTAACTCAAATAAATGAAGTTATCAACATGAGGTAGCACTTTTGAATACCAGGGAAGGTAGGTTTGAAAATAGGTTAATATAAAGCTGAATAATTGTAGTCTAGCTTCCCTTCTACATCCTGTTATACTACATCTGTGTGTTCAAGCACAAGTCTAAAACATATGAGAACAAATTGCATCCATATTGAACGCACACAGGCTTTTATTGGTTTCACTCAGTGAAAATGTATCATAACAACTGAGCACCATGGTTGCATCACATTCAGCTGGAGCAATAGCTGAGAGCTTCTAGTCTATCCACAATCACAAGGCAGAGGGGCACGGGGTGTTTAACTGGGAATGTCATGGGCTTTTTTTTTAATAGATTTTTTTTCATACAACACATTCTGATTTTCCGAGAGCCTCCCCCTTTCCTCACCAACTCAACTCCAACCTTTTCTTGCTCTGTCTCTTTAGAAATAAACAAGATTTTATAAAAAAAAATAATAAAATAAGATCAAGTAAAAACAAACAAACCACCATAGGACCAAACAAATAGAAAAAGAGCCAAAGAAAAAGCGCAAAAACCTCATATAAAGATGCAAAGACATGAACATTGGAAAGCACAGAAATCCCTAAAAATGCAAAAGCAGAAACCATAACAAATAAGCAAAAAAGCCTGTAAGAAAAAAAGCACAGAAAATTTATGGGGCAAAAAAAAAAACCAGTACAAAATACCACTGAGTTTGTTTTGGGTTAACTATCTACTGCTGGGCATGGAGCCTGTCCTTCAGTGAAGTTTGTATACCAAGTGAGACTCCATTTGAGAAAACTAATTTTCCTTTGCAAATGGTTATCAAATAGAGATAACTTCTTGTTTAGGGGTGGGGCTTGTGTCCATTTCTCCTCTCAGCACTGGGACCCTATCTGCTGGGAACCTGTGCAATCCTGTGCATGCTACCATGGTCTCTGTCAGTCCTGTTGTGTCTAGAAGGCCTGTTTTCTTGTCTGCCATCCCCACTGGCTCTTACAATCTTTCTACTTCTTCATCTACAGAGTTCCCTGGACCCTGAGGGAAGAGGTTTGATGGAAATATCACATTTAGAATTGAATATTCCAAGGTCTCTGTACATTGCCCAGTTGCAGGCCTCTGTATTTGTTCTCATCTACTGCAAGAGATCTACTTCTCTTACAATGGCTGAGCAGAACATTGATATATAAGCATAGCAGAATGTCATTAGGAGTCATTTCATTGCCATATTCCTTTAGCAGAACAACAGCATTTCATTTTCAGTTAGGTCTATGATCTATTTTGTCTCAGATTCTTGGCCACCCATGCAGTGTGGTTCCATTTCATAGAGTGAGCCTTAAATCTAATCAGATTGTGGTTGGTTACTCTGGTTGTGGGGTTTTGAAACTTCAAAGCCCACTTCCAGTGACAAATGCCTTCTAACAAGGCCACATTTCCTAATCTTTTCCAAAACAATTCCACTGGATATCAGGTATTCAAACATATGGAGACCATTTTCATTCAAACCCACAATCTCTTTCTGTAAAATCACATTACTTACTTATTGACTAAGGTCTGCCTTTGTCTGATAAATTTTAAGATCAATAATGGGAATCTTGTTCTAGTTTGTTTGTTGGTGACTTTCTAATGATTAGAGCAGTGTTTTGCTTTAGTAAATGTGTGTGTAGGCCCATATATATGTATATATATGGCTGATGAGTAAACACAGAACTGATGGCCCAAAAAGGTTAACTCTAATATAATATGGTATCATAACTAGATCCTTTGACAGCCTCCTGGTCTTTCCTAATGTCTGTCATCTCAAGATGATGAGGTCATGGCTTCAAATGTACAGCAGAAGAACAGGCAAAGGATACAGAGTAAATTCTGCAGATCTTAACTTATTTTTCATTGCTGGAAATGTGTCAACTTACTTTTATTTCCAAGGATAGCTTGGAAATCAATCATTTTATTCTTAAAAACTGTGTGAGAGGCCATGAGAAATGGGTTGGGTTTTGGGTGTGGATTAGTCAGGCTGTGTAAGGAGCATCCATTCCTTGGGGAGAGACTTGAACCCAAGAGGAAGGACTACAAAACAATAAAAAGGTATATAACACCTTTGGGGAATAGTAAAGATTTTGTGTTTCCTAGCAGATCTTCAGGGTCATTCGCTGTCTGTCATTCCTATTCATTCTGAAGAGTGAGATGATGAGCAGAAGTAGGCACATGGAAGAGAACTCAGACATAGAGCAGAACACCATGTGATGTCATGGTCTGGCCTGGCTCATGGCAACAGCTGGAAAAGTAGTTTTTTCTCAATACCCCCCTCCAAAGTTGAATTCACTCCCAATAGACTTTAATTAGCAATAGCGAAGAAAGCCATCTTTCCAGTCCTAGATAAAACTGTTTTCCCTTCACCCTCAGCTCAGCCGTCTTGAGACAAGATAAGAAGCAGCTGGCAGTGGGTGGGAGACAAAATACCATTTGGCCAGACAGCAGGGACTTAGTGCATTCTCACTGGGGGTGTGAAAGACTCCAAGAAATCACAACGTTACTTGAATTTCAGTTTCATGACCATGGATATATATCCTGGCCACGTGTATATATGGAACCTAAGGACAGGATGGCACAAATATTCCCATTAACATCATTAGCAAGCATGTCAGTGAAATAGTGGTTTGTTAGCATTAAAAGTCAGACTTTCGAAAGAAAGTATTTTGAAATTTTCCCTGCTGATAGAATTGATGGTTTTGTTGTATGGCAGTCATGAGCTGGACAGGACTCTATTCAAACCTCTTGCCTGGGGCCAGCTTCATTTTGCTCTCCCTGACTGGGGGCTGTGCTGGCCACAGAGAGGAGCTTGGAGGGAGAGAAGAAAGTCTGCATCATGGGTCAAATGAATATATTTGAAGACAAATTACCCAGAAACTTGTGCAATGTACAGAATCAGCTCATTCAAGAGCCAGACTGTAATGACAAGGAAATCCTGCCGGCTCAGCAGCTCCCTGGGCTTCAACAATCAGGGTTTGCCAGGCAATGTTAGCAGTGGTCCCATGGGAATCTTTACCCTTGGCTCTATGTAAGTTTCATTGTAACCTTAACTTTCCTCAGCAAGTCCTTAAGCACGCTGATACTTCATGGCCTGGTACACTGGTTTGTGAAAGTAAGGAAAGTCACACATAAGGGGACACTTGATTTCACTGCTGTTACATTCAGGATTCACTCTTCTTAAAGATGTATTGGCATATGGGGTCTGTGTCACCTCGTTTTACTTTCTACCATGTGGAATTTTTGGCGATTTTCTATTAAACCTAAAGAACAGTCCACTTTCTCTCTGCATCCATCCATCCGCACAGGGAAAGGATAAGCTGCAGTGTGAAGAATGTAAGGCTTTGAAATAAGACCTGATGGTAAGACTCATTTCCAAGTGCCTCTTTATTTGCAAAATGAGAACAATGCCCATTCTGCAATCATTCTGAAGACCCTACATCATGTGCACAGTACTCTAGGCACAGTGTTCCTAGGTGCACCAGGTACTTATTTTAAGCAATGGTATCTATCCATGTTCTTATCTCCACTTTACTTGGCTATCCTTTATTTCATTCTCTCTCCTCTCTCTCTCTCTCTCTCTCTCTCTCTCTCTCTCTCTCTCTCTCTCTCTCTCTCTCTCTCTCTCTCTCCCTCTCCCTCTCTCTCTCTTTTCAGTTCACATTTTATGTACAAATTTAAAAGCACCACATGTATATTAACTGCTTTGTTTCTTGAGTTGCTGGTAAGTTTTATGATACAAAAATATGAGATGTACATGGAAATAAAGCTCTAAGCCATATGGAAGACAACTTGTCCTATGTCTTATGTAATGTACCTATGCGCGTCATCACAGATGAAAGAATACTTGATTTGGAGTCAGGATTTATGACTTTGCTTCTGCTAAAATTGTATTACCTGCACAAGCAGAATAGGAAATGCAGTGGGTAGCAATCAAGGACTTGTGTAAAGTATCTCATTTTCAGTAGCAAAAGGGAGGGAAAGCATGCCCCACCCTCCACCCTGATGGAGTCAGAAAGGCTTCAGTAACAGATGGTATCAAGACAAAGAACTCAGCAGCAGTTTCATAGCTGCATTCCTATTAGTGGGCACTGATCACTTTGATCCTCAATTTGGCAAGCTTACAGTGGAGCCATTTTCTGCTTTCTCATATTAACTCATTCTTACTATACAAAAACCCGGGAGCTCAGGAGCATTAAGCAAATCATCCAAGGAAGCACAGATAGTGGACCACAAGGGCATCATTGACCACAGGTCCTTAGGCCCCTAACCTTTTGTCCAAATGGCCACCCTAAGCTGCTCAGAGTGAACATGGACTTCCAACTTTCTTCACACAGCACAGCAAGGGACTGCAACTCCCTCTTCTTGCTCCTGGTTTTTATATCTGCAAAACCGAGATCTTAGTTAGGTTCAAAGGCCAAGAATGAACGTGTCCACAAAATCAAAGGTCAAGGGATGGGTGTATAATTCAGTGATAGGTTTGTGCTTCTAATGTGTAAGGGTCTATACCCGACCCTCAGAACACACACAACAAAAGTAACGGAATTCTGACATTTTTCTTCATTACACACCAGTTCATTCTCAGTGTTGTAAATTCCTTTACTAAACTGCAAGGGGGCGGGAGATAACATTGTTTTCTAAAACAAATCATCATGCATGGATGCAAATAAACCTTTAACCTATGCACTAGTAATTTAAAATAAATAAAAACAGATAACAAAATGGCCAGTGAAAATCTGCACCAAGTACTTTTGACTGTCATCCCTGTCTCATCAGATTTTGAAGTATCTCAGCACATGTGAGGAGCATCCTAAAAGTCTAAATGACTAGAATACCTAAATGACTAGAATACCTAAATGACTAGAATACCCAAAATGTTTTAGTTACCTTTTTGTTCCTGTGATAGAATACCTTAAAGAAAGTACACAGAAGGGAGAAAGGGCTTCTTTCTCTAGGATTCCAGAGAGATGTAGTCCATCATGACGTGGAGGCAGTCAGGAAGCAAGAGAGAAGTGGAGGGCAGGCTCTAAACCCAAAGCCAGCCCCCTGGTGACAAGTCTCTATGTTCTGAAGGTACTACAACTTCCCAAGTGCTGCTATCAGGGGATCAAGTATTCAAGCACATGAGCCTGTGGGGACAGTTCAAGTTCCAACCACAACAAGGCATAGATATAAACCATGAAGCCAGAAAGACTGCATTCAAGTGTCAGCTTCCCCATGGACTTAACATCTCTGAGCCCCGGGTTCTCACCATTGAATTTTAGAAATTATACCCACTTCATGATATCTCTAAAGCAAATTATTTTGGAAACTGTTAAATACTACACTGATTATATAAATCATTATTAATGAGGCAGTGTTCTTTTATCATTAAGATCACAGATTCCAGTGAAGGCCAAGTGAAAGGTACCAGGGAATGCTAACTTGCACATAACTCAGTTACTCAAATCCTTTTTGGAAGTCTAGACATTCTGTTCAAACAAGGTTGAAACTAAGGGGGTTGGAGAGGCTGCACTCTTAGACAGAGCTGAGAGGCTCTCCCTGGGGGTTGAGCTGTCATCAGGACAGGGACAGACTTCCAAGCCACATGGAGTTTCAGTATGTCCCTAAGATGCTAAACAATCTCTGTGCAATTGAGTGACACATGTGTTTTCAGTATTGTGCAACTTTGCGCTGTGACAAACAGTTCCCATGGGACAAAGAGATTAATTTAATTTGGAACTTTTGGCTATTGGTCAATCCGTCTTCCCTCTGCTGCCTTTAGCAGATTGGAGGTAGTCTTCCAGTGAATGTCTGGGAATCTTTTAGAAAAAGGATTCCTTTGGGAACCTTAACCTCCCCTGAGAGAACTGTCAACTTTCTGTCCTGACTCCATTGCTCCATCAAGTCTTACTGCTCTCATTACTTAGTGTCTGCGAAGTCACCACAAAATGCTGAACTAGCAAATATTGAGTCTCTGTTCCCAGGCAAGAGAAAGGGTGTGTTCCTGCATTTCTGGAAACCAGCCAAACATATCCTTTTAATGTATGTTTATGTTTTAAGTCATCTAGTGTGTATTGTGATTCATTAACACTGAACTATGACCTACAACACTTTATTACACGTGTGAAAGAAGCCTCACCACCACTCATACTTACTCTGGGAGGTTATTAGAGCCTTTTGTTTTCTTATGTGTAGGAATTCCAGGCAGCACTTGACAACTGAGCTTGACAGCAATTTAAAGACTTACTTTTTATTCTTTATTTTACGGGTATGAGTGTTGGCCTACTTATCTGTAGGTGCACCACATGTGTGCAGATGCCCATGGAGGTCAGAGGGCTTTGGAGCCCCTGGAACTGGAGTTATGGGCAGTTGTGAACCTCGCAGTGAGTGCTAGAAACGGAATCTGTGAAAGAGAAGAATTAGCTCATAGATGAGCCATATCTGCAGTTCCTGTGGACCTTTTCAACCTGAAGTCACTCTAAGCGTGCAAAATAAAATCTCACCAATAAAAAAGCATGGCTCTGAGTAGCGGGGGGGGGGAGTATTTGTTTATAGTGTGAGAGTTGAAACAAAAAAGCAGAGTGTTGGGAACCATGTAAATATTTTGCTGTTCTTTACATAATCGTGGATGGCTGCGAAAGGGTCATAAACACTGATGATAGAGTGTGTATCTGACGCAGACTGAGGATGAACACTGATGATAAAGTGTGTGTCTCATGAAACCCTTACTGAACTCTTGATACTATTGGTGTGAATGTCTATCTTCCACCGTAAGCCAAACTTCTTGAGAAGAGAGATTATCTCATTGCTTTTTAGTTTTCTTATCTTAGAATATTTTTCCAAACATTGCAGACTGAATCTGTCCTACAGCATTTAGAAACTGTTTTCCTGGATCTAGGAATAACAATCATTCCCCCAGACACGTTTTAATGGAATCTCAATAGAAAATATCACCCTAGTCAAATTTAGCTAGTACGTCAGTGCTGCCACCTGTAACTTATGTCTGACTGATACTTCCTTATCCCCTGGGAGACTTTCCAAACCTATACTCAAAATCACAGTCTGCTTTCACTCTATTCTCAGCAGATCCATGGAATGCTTTCTGTAGATCAAAGTCATCTTATACAGAACCTGTGTGATTTTCATCTTTCTCCTGTTTTTCTTTTCTTAGTGAAATTCATTTTCTGCCAGACATGACTGGCACAAGGTATACTACCTTGTGATCCGCAAATTTGGAAGATAGAGGGAAGAATATCATAACCTCCAGAACACTGAGCTATTAAAAAAACTCATGAGGCTGGAGAGATGGATCCGTGTTTAAAAGTGCTTGTGACTCTTCCAGAGTACCCCAGCTAGAAGACCAGCACCCACATCAAGTCCCACACAACTGTAACTCTAGCTCCAAGAGATACAATGCTTTCTTCTGGAGAAACATATGATTAAAAAATAGTCTTTCAAAGATCCCTCTCTCCCTTTTGACGTTTTTCTGGTTTTCTGAACTCTTTGCTCCCTCCCATTCTTTCGTGTCTTCGTCTTGAAGAGGGATTTGTACTTTCATCACTCTCCATTTTACTTCTCCCTTAAACCTTCATTGAAACTGTTGTCTTCAAGGTCACCAGACTGTGTCTTCATTGAAAGTGGTGCCTTCATGGTCACTAAATTGTGTCTTGCATGGTCACCAAACCTTTTGGTTGTTTTTACCACTGAGGGCACCAAAGTAAGACTCTCTGGCCAGTCATTCTACCTGAACTGGTGAGTTACAGGTTCAGTGAGAGACCCTGCCTCAAAGCATAAGCTGGAGAGGCAATGGAGGAAGACAGCATGGTGTCAATCTCCACATGACCACACATGGAGCACACACACACTAAATAAACCAAGCTTTATAGTGAATGAATAGTGGAGCAATGATTTTAATCTATGTCTTCTAATTCAAATGAGCTCTTAGTTTCTATACCGTATTGCCTCAGTCTGGTTAAACATAAGCCTTTTTGGCAGTCATATGTTTAAAAGTCTTCAGTGTCTCTATATGGTCTGCAGAAAATAACAAAATGAAAAACATTCTTCCCAGACACAAATTTAGGGCCTTTCCTTATCTGGCACCAAATTTTCTTTCTAGATTTATCTTCTGAAAACAATGTCTCTTATAAATGCTATGCTTCCGATGTTCTTCCTTCAGTGTTTCTCTACTTTATGACTTCAGTCTAGAACACTTATTCTTTCAGTACAGAAGATTATAGTCATACTTTCGTGCACCTCACAGGATAACAGTAGTAAACAGAAGGACCCATCACACGAGATCTGTTTAAGGGCAAAGCATAAAGTATGTGTTCTTCACAGGAATAAATAGATTTTTTTTGGAAAAAAGGCAACATGGACTTCATAGGATGCTAATTGTGCCTGTTGCAAGGTCCCATCATGGATGGCAGTGGTAAGGAGAGCAGTTGTTAGCACCCTGTTAATCCTAAGAAGCTGTGAAGAAATGTAACTGTGCAAAGTAACCTCAGTGGATCTTGAGTTTTAGGCAAATCTCATTCTAATTGAAAAAGTCATAAGAAGCATTAGATTGTGATTACTGTGTATGTGTGTGTGTGAGTGAGTGTGTGTGTACGTGCATGTGCGTGTGTGCGCACACCTGCACACACTCTCTCTTTGTATAGAATATATATGCATACACATATAATAAACTATGACACCTAGAATGATAATGCTCCCCCAAAGCATAGATTATTTAACAAAACATCCAGTGCCAGGCATGGGAAACCTCACTTTGAGTTGTTGGTCAGGGGAGTCCAAGAAATTTCCAAAACCATATACTCTATTGCCACTGCCTTCCTATAAAACCTTGAGTGTAAGAACGTATGGCCACACACTTTTATACACAATATTTAGAAGGATCAAACTGGAACCTACCTGGAAGCATCCTTCTGAAGACTAGCTCCCATAGTACTGGAAGGTGCTGTATGTATACAAGATGCCATGGGAGAAAAGAGATCAATAGTTGCACCAACCTTTAAAGCCTATGGACTACAATGATCAGCATGGTAAGCTACTCCTAATGGTACAATGGTTGTACTTATAACTTGAGAGTAACCAACACCTATCTAGCTGGACTTAAGACTCAGTCAATAGGAGGGAACTTGTGCCTGTTCTGTAATCCTAGTCAGCTGCCTGAGGCTAGTGAAGTCATGGACCCTATAGGAGGAGCTACTACTACCAGTTTCCTAAACCAATATGAGGTTCTAGCTGGGTTCTAAAGACTTACCCTTATGTCTGCAGGTAGCTCTTACCCCTCCTTAAAGAAGCTTCTTTTGCAGTAGATAAAGACCATTGCAGAAACCCAAAACCGCCCAAATCCAGAGAACAACTGACCATCTGATGCCCAACCCCAACTGATAATATGTATACTGCAACCCCTGCATGTAAATCTCATGGAGCATCAAAGCAGAGGGGTTGTAGGAGCAGAAAGACTGTAAGACACAAGAGTACCAGGATGTCTGCTGTGAGATAGTGCCCTCTATACACATGACAGGAGCTGCACCCATGAAGTCTGGGTAATACGATGAGATGAATAAAATCTGCACAGTGTTGACACCAGTTGACATGCAATGTGAATTGGAGAAATTTCAGAGGCCCCACCCATTGATGAAAAGCTAGACTATGAATGCTTGCTGAGAACAGGGGAATCAGTCTTCTTCACGGATGAGCTCTGGTAGATTATCTAATCCCAAGGGGTCAATCCTAAACACATATACCTATAAGCAACACTAAATATACTCAGCAATATATGTGTGTATGTGTGTGTCTGCACATGTATCTATGTGTTAGTCATAAGACATGCCAATTAAACACATGAATTAAGAAGAAATCGTGAATTTTCAGGAGGGTGGGAGGCATGGGGGGATTTGGAGAGAGAGGGGTAGAAATGATGCAAATACAGTACTCATTCATGAAATTCTCAAATTAAAATCAATAATAAATAAATGGTAGCAAGACCCATACATTTCCAATGACTGTTCTTCAACCATTTCCTCCATAGTTCTTTCATCTAACATAATTTTGAATGCATGTGATCTTCTACAGAACTTTCTTTTCCAAAGTTTTCAAGTCATAAGCCATTTTCTACCTCTTATCAACCACAAGAATTGTTTCATTTGATAACATTTTCATATTTTGTGCATGGAGAAGGCAGACATTTCTTGACAACATCACACTAATAAATATTTCAGAGAGTAAAAACAAGATATTGGACCAGAAAATCCTAGGCTTCATGCCTCCACATGGGTGGAATGTTCTTATGAAAGAGAACATGATCACAAGGGAGGCTTAGATTACAAAACAGAAGAGAAATCATGAAATTTGACTTTCACATAGGGAGTGTATGATGTCTTTAGGTAACTCTTCTGAAAAATTAGAAAGGAGACCTTGCTTGATAGTAACTTCTAAGCCGCCACTATGCAGACCATGCAAATGATGCCATGGGGATAATGCAGCTACTTAAGGAGATCACAAGGAACAAGAAAAACTATCCATGGTAGCATCTAAAGAGCTCTAATAAATTTTTATGGACAGAAATAAAAGAGCAAACTTGTCCAAAAAAAACCAAAACCAAACAAACAACTAAAAGCATAGGGCTGGAGAAACTGCTCAGCAGTTAAAAACACATACTGTTCTTGTAGAGGACTGAGTTGCATTGAGTAGCTCACAATTACCTTAACTCCAGCTCCTAGAGATCCAAGACCCTTTTCTATGGATAAATGTTTTCACATGAACATACATACATACAAGTTGAAATAAAATAATTTTAAACAAATCTATTGTATTGTTTGAAGTAAAATTATTTCAAGATGTCTTCCATTGTCAGAAGAAATTAATGGTTGAAAGTTGACCCTGAGAGAGCCCCATTCTTTTGAATAAAGGTCCAAGCTAGACTAAAGTTGCTCGTCAAAGAAATGAAAAGGATGATTAAAGATTGTTTAAGAAGGGTAACTGAGGAAGAAATATAGCAGCATGGCTTTAGTTGCAGAGAAACCCAGTGAGGGTCATGATTCTGACCATAATGCTACCCCTTTCTTAAAGCAATGAAGGTATCCTATCTTGAACTGGGGTACTTCTTTCCTCTTCCAGATACTTAAAAACAGAACAGAGTCATTTATCATCTTTGACTAAACATACTTTGATTTCAGTTCATGGTTTGACCTGTAGTAGCACCTTGATTGGCTGTTAACGAAGAAACCAAGCAAAGGAGGAAGGAGGGGAGATGGTGAGGAGAAAATACAGAAGGTGTGCACACAAACCTCTTCTGAGGTAATATAACACTCAGACATCAAGTATCAGAAGCAAACACTAAGCCACTCTGCAGGAATTGTATACATTTCAACCTCCTTACCATGGTTTCTTTTCACTGGTAAGAAAAATGTTTTTTTTTTGAAAAAGGAACCAAATTGTTTTTATGAATAATTACTATTATGATAATACACAACAGAAAGTGAAGACCTGAAAAACCAATGAAGAATGGAGCACATTCTTACTTACTTACTTACTTAACTTACAGCAGAGTTTTCTGTGAAAGCCAAGTTCATGAAAAGGCGATCAGCGACAGAACAATGTATGTTATGTCATCATCAAGACAAAGCTGTCTTTAATGCCCCAGGGGCCTTGATTTCTGCACTTATGGCCACTCTCTGAATCCTGGGGCTTTCCCCTGTGCACCTGTCTCCAGATCCCTCTGGAATAACAGATCATCATTGTTTACAGGGAATGTTGAGTCACTCTGGAAGGTCCCTGCAGAATCCACTTGCCTGTTTGGAAAACTCCATCCCTTATCTCATTGTTTCCAAAGCCATGAGTCTACACACAAACCAGAGCACACATGAGCCAACTTTCAGACTCTCTGGCTCTTCTCCTCTGAGCCCCATCACCATACCTCTGCATATGCAAGTTTATAAAAGCACCTCATAACTGGGTTGAATTAGCAACAATCATAAATTATATTCCTTTTGTTTCAACAACAAATGAATCGAGAAAACATTGTCTGGCAAACAGAATTGTATTCACTGTGTATTCACATCATGTGGAGCAGATTAAAAACAATCATAGAATGTTTCAGTGTCTAATTTTTGGAGAAGAAACAAAAGCCAGAATTACTCTTCCAGCAACTTTGTAATAACCAGTGTATTCAGTCCACACTCCCTTGGAGACTGCTCCTTCTGAGTTGTCAATACACTTCTGCCATCTATCAACTGCCTGAGAAAACACAGTGCAAACTATTCAGTCATTTTCCTTCAAATAGAAAAGAGCATGCAGAATGCAGCAAGGAGATGGTTTAGAATGTGAACTGGGGAGACTCCCAGCAGTTCACCTTGACCACAACTTCCAATTTACGGCTGTCCTTTAAATTGCTTCACGTTGATTCCCAAGCTATGTGTTACCTTGGTAATTCATCTCTACCACATCTCTTACTACAAGACTTCTATTCTCTCAGATACAGCACTAGCAACCTCCATTTCTACATTCCATTGTTTACTACTCAAAATCAGCAACTTGGAATTTTCATGGCTTCATCAAAATATAACTACTCTGGGCAACTGCCAGAACTTACCCAGAGCAAGAAAATCTACTTCCCCCTCCACCTGCTGTATATACATTCATGCATACACACACACACACATACACACACACACACACACACACACACACACACACACTAAGCATGACCTCTATCTACACAGACATGCTCACTGCCACCTTCTGCAGACAGAAAAAAGGATATTTTTATCTGTTCTTCAATATTCAGATTGATTTGATTCACAGCCTCAATAAACGAAGTCCTGTCCTACAACGAAGCCCTCATAACACTCTTGCCATTTTTGAAAATGCTACCATCTAATTGGCAGCCCATTCCTTCCCTTCCATGAGTACTATGATCAAATAAGTATAAGAGCTCAAGTCAAATATTCCATGGGAAGACCTTGCAGGTAATTTAAGAGCCAAAGTTCCATCTTTTCAATGACAATAATGATGATGATGATGAAGATGGTGATGATGACTAGAATAGTTGCTAGTCAGAAATAAGAGGGCCCCACCCATCCAAAATTTTATTTCCAATGTTCAGAACCATGTCTCTCCCCTCTGTCTCCTCTCCTCTCTTCTCTCTCCTCTCTCTCTCTCTCTCTCTCTCTCTCTCTCTCTCTCTCTCTCTCTCTCTCTCTCTCTCTCTCTCTCTCACACACACACACACACACACACACACACACACCATGAGGGTATGGACAGGTTCGGCTTCCTGAAAACACAGTCACCAAGCTGGTCTGAGAGTAGACAGCAAGGAACCAAGGAACAGAATGAGAATGGCCTAGAAGCTTTCACTGAGGCTTTTTGATTTGAGTTTCTTACTAGCTGCAAAGGAGGGATGACCCAGGTTTCTTCTCATCCTGCAGAAATGAGAAGCAAACAGGAAAAAAGGCAAAGCTTCAAATCTGTCAGCAGTCAAATATTAGAAATGGATGCAAACTACAGAACCACAGCATATCCTATATTCATGAATTTCCAAGAGTCTCCCAAATTAATTAAAACAGTGGTTGTTAACCTGTGGGCCGTGACCTTTTGGGGGGTTGAACAACGCTATTAGAGGGGTCACCTGAAACCATTGGAAAACACAGATGTTTATACTACAATTCTCAACTGTTGCAAAATTACACTTATGACCCATCAATAAAGGTAGTTTTATGGTTGGGGATCACCGAAGCATGAGGAACTATGTTAAAGGGTCAAAATATTAGGAAGGTTGAGAACCACTGATTTAAAGCTATTGGTTAGCCTTTGTTCTCAGGTGAACAAGTCAATAAGTCATACAGGAGCAGAGACTCCCCTAAAATCAAGCAGCAGTTAGTGCAGAACAAGGAAAGTGACCTAACATCTGTCCAGTGTCAAAATCACTTGATTTTGACCAGGAAGCCAA